TACCATGCAGAATACTTCAGAAAGATCTTTAGCGGGTGTGTTTTCTATCTGATTTGAAACAGCTGATTTCTCTTTCAGGTATAGAAGCCAAGAAAAATGTGGTGGTAACTCAAGCTGACCAAATAGGCCCTCTTCCCAGCACTCTGATAAAAAGTGTGGACTGGCTGCTTGTATTTTCCTTATTCTTTTTGATTAGTTTTATTATGTATGCTACCATTCGAACTGAGAGCATTCGGTGGCTAATTCCAGGACAAGAGCAGGAACATGCGGAATAGTGATGGACTGAAAGGAGAAGTCGGAACGAGGAATTTCAGAAATTAATGCTGCACTTCCTTACATTTTCTCCAGTGAAGTGTAGACTTACAGCTTCAGTCAGATTAAAAGAATCATGCATTTGTTGAATTGTTGAATGTGTTAAAAAATTATAAATTGGTGTTTTAATTAGTACCGCAAAAAGCAAATGCAAAAATATTCAATAGAACTCACCATTCTTGTTTTTACTAATCTAGTATTTTAAGGGAGTGATCCAGTTTCAAATGGGAGCGTGGTTCTGGTGGAATAGTGGATAGAGTGACAGTTGGCTTCACAGAAGGAAGAAGTAGGACTTTTCACATTATGGTTTAGAAAAGTTTTGATTCCTTATATATGTTTAAGAAGGTTGGTTTCTGTTCATTTGCAGTTTTTCTCTCAGAGCCTGTAAGTAGGAAAGTGTTCTGTTGTGGAAGGAGGACTAGAATTGACAAGTGTGACCTTCTGAGTAACTGATGGGAGAATAAAAGAGTCAAGTACTTTGGTGTTTGTGATCTTTAATTTCACCGGAGGAATTTGAAGTGGTTTAAGTCATTTCTGGGTAGGGCAGATGTTAGGAGAAATTAAATATTATCATCAAACTAGAGCTTATTTATTATCAGTTCTAGGCTAAAGCATAACTCAAATTTTAGTCACCGTTACCTTACCAGCATGCACTGATTCAACCTTAAAATGTTCTAAGCACTGTGCTAGTTTCAGTGCGAGCCAAAAGAAATATGTAACACTGTTCTTGCCCACAAGTTGATTCTAGTCTAGTTTAGGACACAGGTAGAGAAGACACAACATGTAATTTATACCAACTTTTTTTTTTTTAAGATTTTATTTATTTATTTGACAGAGACATGGCGAGAGAGGGAACACAGCAAGGGGAGTGGGAGAGGGAGAAGCAGGCTCCCCACTGAGCAGGGAGCCCGATGCGGGGCTCGATCCCAGGACCCTGGGACCATGACCTGAGCCGAAGGTAGACGCTTAACGACTGAGCCACCCAGGCGCCCCTTTATACCAACTTTTTAAAAAGCTGTTTCTAAAAGATCCCTTAAACTCAGATATAAGACATCTGACCACATAATGAGAAGTAACCTTTATATAAAGTGATTGTTTCCAGTATTTCAGATAGAGTAGTTCATTTCATAATGCACCTTAAATTCTACGGAAATAGAACCTTAGTTGAGTCACTCTCTCAGAATGTTATGTTGGGCAGGAGTTTACCACTTTATGTTGTGGATAAGTCTGGCTGGGGTGGTCACTGACAGGAAGGGATGGTGGTTCAGAATGGGACTATTACTATTTTCACTTTACAAATGAGCAAACAGGCATGGAGAGAGCTTAAGTAACTTGCCCAGGTTACACACAAGAGTACGCTGGTGAAGCTGGGATTTGAACCTTTACATATATGTGTTTGTGTACTTAAAATTAGAAGAAAAACTTACAGTGAGTCCCTCTTTTATAACAATAACTAACACTTGAGTATAATTGTGTGTGTTCCAGGTACTATTTTAAGTTCTTTACCTACCATTTTATTTATTGGTACAGTAGCTCTGAGATTGACACTAGTATTAAATATCCTTGTTTTACAGAAGGGTAATAAATGAGGCCCCAAATAACTTGCTCAGGGTCATGCAGTTTCCAGTCGTGGGACCCAGGTTCCATCCTAAGCATGCTGATTGGAGGGGCCTCTGTGCCATGAGGTGAGAGATTGTCATAATGCATTTCCCTCTTGTCTTTCCCCTTTCTTTCCCATAGTTAGAGTCATAACATAGGTATCATTTAGCACCTTAGTTTTTGTTTTGTTTTGTTTTGCTTAACAAATGATAAATATTTCACTGTTACCAACAGATTTCCTAACCATGACTACGTAATAGGTCTTCGAGTAGGTTCAGCATTACTTAACTTTTTTTTTTTTTAATTTATGGTTGTATATAGTTTCATTTCCTGGGGGACACACTCCCAGATGAGAAGTTATCTTATCAAAGATACAGGCATTTTCGTGCCTTTGATATGTCATGGGGCCCTACTGTAGTGTGGAGGATGAGGAAAGGCTCCTAGGACGGCCAGCAGATCCATGGCTTTGCTTTTAATACTTAGCTGACACAAGCTACCTGGGGTTCCCTTGGAGGGAAAGTGGAGCAGGGCGGTTCCCTAGAGGGGAGGTTCAAGTGTAGAGAGGATCAGTTGGAAAGCACTGGTGCTGAGGGAACGGGAAGTAGGAGGCAGGAAGGAAGGTCCAAGAGCAGCTAAACCACCCCAAGCCAAGCATGGTGTCTGTGCTGCAGAACCAGTGTCTATGCATTGGTACCAATGCCAGGGATGGGGAGGGCGGGGATTTAGCTGCATGGAACACAGCAAAGATCATCAGAGTGCCAGTCATCAGGGACAGAAGTCCAAACACTTCTGCCCACTCCTGCTTAGTATCAGTTGCCAAGGAAAACGAGTGTGCATTGGTCCCCCATGGCTAGTGGATCCTCCCCAGCAGCCAATGGCCGGAGGCCCCTCTAGTGTCTTAGCACAAGTCCTGTTCCCTGCCGTGGAGTCCGTAATACTGAAAGCGGGGGAGCATGCCCTAGGGCTATTTGACTTACATGCTTGAGCAGAATACAGGAGTACATATTGAGTCTGGATCAGGGAAGGATATTCCCACACAAGGTATAAGCCTGGAACAGGCTGTATGGGCTCTTTATGACGACGGTAAGCGGTGTTTTAGGCCTAAGGCCCATTCTTACATGGGTGAGCAGGGCTTAAAAGACTGTGAACAGGAGCCTGCCTTTCCCAAGAGTGTCCACCGTAGACGACTTGCTCAATAAATCTTTGCTAAGGAACTTAAATCCCATTAACTGGAGACCTACATGTGAAGGCAGAGTATCCGCAGCCCCTACTGGTGAACATCGCTTCCCCTGGGCTCTACTAACATGCTACTGCCACTGCTTTTCCTAACTACAGCTGGGATGCGTTTCCTGCAGTGGATTTCGGGAAGGAAGACGAGTCTCTTGTTACACTGACCATTTTGCAGTTCTCACTTTAGTAAGCACGTTTGCAGAGTATTCATGATTGTATACACCTGATTAAGTACTGGAAATGAAACTTTTATTTTTTTTTATTATAATTTAATTATTTGACAGAGAGAGACACAGTGAGAGAGGGAACACAAGCAGGGGGAGTGGGAGAGGGAGAAGCAGGCTTCCAGCGGAGCGGGGAGCCCGATGCGGGGCTCGATCCCAGGACCCTGGGATCATGACCTGAGCCGAAGGCAGACGCTTAACGACTGAGCCACCCAGGCGCCCCTGGAAATGAAACTTTTATTTATTTATTTTTATTTTTTTAAAGATTTTTATTTATTTGAGAGAGAGAGAATGAGAGATAGAGAGCACGAGAGGGAAGAGGGTCAGAGGGAGAAGCAGACTCCCTGCTGAGCAGGGAGCCCGATGTGGGACTCGATCCTGGGACTCCAGGATCATGACCTGAGCCGAAGGCAGTCGCTTAACCGACTGAGCCACCCAGGCGCCCGAAATGAAACTTTTAATTCCATCTCCAGTCTCTGCCCACTTGAGGCATCATGCAAAGGAAACAAGAATGTCTTGGATACCTTGAGATCAGTGACATTTGATCAGGGTCTGCAGCGAGATTCCTCCCTTGAGTTTTTGTCAAGTGGGCAAACGCAAAGAATGCATATTGAGCCATGTCTTAATTTTAGCATATCTTAAGGCAAAAAAAGCTTTTTTTCCCCAACTCCATATGGGAAATGAAATTAACTGCTAGCAACAGCTAATTTGAACTTAAATGGACTCTCATATTAAAAAATTTTTTTCGGGCATATGGATAAATCCTATGAAAAATTGGTTATATTAATTTGCTTAAACTAGTAAAAAAAGGTACAAGTGAATATACTAAAAACCAGTAAATTGTACTTTAAAGGGTGAATTTTTCGGTATGTGACATTACATCTCAAAAAAAGGCAAGAAAAAAGAGGAAGAATAAAATATTAGTAAATGCATACATAAAAGACTACCCCTCTTCTCCAGAAAAAAATTTCCTGTGTCTCTGCCTACATTCATCTCGTGCGCTACTCTTCAGAGAGCATGAAGAGCTGGGTTTCCACACTGTCTTATCTGGGCCAGCACAGATGAACCAGCGTGCCCAAGGCCTCAGCAGCTAGGCGGGCCCAGCACAGCACAGCTTACAAGGCCCGGTCCGAACCCCTATGATTCTCTTGGGGACGGGAGTGGTCCCCAAGCACCCACCTGGAGCCCATCTCCTCCCGTCCCCGCCCGCGAAGTCCTCCCGCCGGCTCGGGCTCTGGGCCCCTTCGCCCACGAGGGAGCCCGGCACCGACTATCCGCGAGTGTGCGCCTAGCCGGGGCCCGGACACCGAAGAGCCGAACCGGGGGTCACCCCTGAGCGCGCTCCCCGGCGGGACCCACCTCCAGGCACTGGAGGTTGGCACGACGCAGCCGGCGCGGAGCCGGAGCTGGGAGCGCGGGGGCCTGCGGGGGCCTGCGGGGGCCTGCGGCGCCCGCCCGCCTGCTGCCAGCGCGGCCGGCGGCCCTGAAACTCCTGGGACCTTCCGGGGCGGGCCGCGCGGGCGCCTGCAGGACCGCTTGGCCCGCGACTGGGGGCCGCCCGCGCCGCTCCCGGCTCCCGGCCGGCCCGGTGGACGCCTGCGGGCGGCGGGCAGGCAGCGCGCCGGGCAGCCCTGGGCCGGCGGCCATGGCGGCGGCGCTAGGGGCGCGGGGGGCGCCGCGGCTCCTGTTGGCGACGTTGCGGGGCCGGGGCCCGAGCCTCTCGGCCACGGTGAGTGCCGGGACCCGCGGTGCGGGAGGAGGGCGAGGCCCCGCGGCGCCGGCTGGGGGGGCTAGGGCGAAGGACCCGGTCCGGGCCCGGCCTCCGGCCTCGGACCTTGGGGAGCCGCGTTCGGGCGCCGGGCACCTGCCCGACTCCTGGCGGGAGACGAGGGGTCCGCAGCACCATCGTTTCTTCTTGGCTTACACATCCCGCCGTTGTCTACGAGACTGCCCACCGGAAAGAAAAGACCGAGGACGAGTTTTGTTTAAGGAAAGCACGAAAAGTAGCTGTAAAGCCCTGTGATGCTAAGGGTCGCTTGAAGTGATTAAAGGCGCTCTGCCGCTAGACTGTGCGCTCGCCGAGGGCAGGGACCGGCTCCCGCAGGGTGCGCTCGCCGGAAACCCGCTGGCTCAGCGCTGAGTTAACGCACTTGTTCTGCTGTGATGTTTTTGGGGGAATTATTAATAAATTCCTTTTGGGGGCTGACAAATCTATACTTCTTCCCTCTTCCGCGGGGTGTTCCGTCAGTTTTCTGGCATTAGAAATTAATATAGTGGGATAAATTAACTTGAGGGAAAGTTTTAACACGCAGCACCACCTAGTGGGGGAATGTTGCATTAAACTTCCTGTTTCATCTTAAGTTGCTTGTTTGGAAGTTTGAAAGTCTAATAGGTTACATTTAAAATAGATTGGTGATGGAGGAAGGTGAGCACGTGGCCATTAAGGTGAGAACACGAGTTGAGTGCGTACTGTCACCTAAGCGTGTCGCTAGGCGTACCTAGCGTACCTGTACCCACGTACCTGTACCCAAGGTGCTGATGATTAAGTAAAATTACGGGGTTCAGAGGAATGAATAAACAGACATGATTTGAGTGGTTGCCAGGTGCCAGGCTCTATGCCGGTGCCTTCACATTCAAGATCTCTTTAACTTAACTCTTTCAAAAAAATCTCAGGGCGCCTGGGTGGCTCAGTCAGTTAAGTGTCTGCCTTCCGCTCAGGTGATGATCCCAGGGTCCTTGGATTGGGTCTGACTTTGGGCTCCCTGCTCAGCAGGGAGTCTGCTTCTTTCTCTCCGAGCTCTCCCACTCCCCCTGCTTCTGCTCTCTTTCTCTCTCTCAAATAAATAAAATCTTTTAAAAAAAAAAGTCTCGACAGGTAGATGTGGTGATACCCCCGCCATAGACATGAGGATACTGGTATTGAAAGAAGCTAAGTGATTTGTTCAGCATCTCCACAGCTGAAAGTAACCAAGTGAGGCCTTAGATCAAGTTTGTTCTCTCCAAATCCTATGCTTTTCCCTGTCCCCATCTCCCGCAGAAAAAAAATTAAGCCCATTATAAAGGGTTCTGCAGAAGGTGTGTCTCCAAGGGGACCATTTGTGTTAGGTAAGTGAAGTGATTCCATTTCACAGTCCTGGACACGGTCCCTGTTCTTGGGCAGACACCTGTGGTGAGCACACCATTGCCCTCACTGGGGATGTGCATGGCGGAGAATATGGAGGAAAACAGCTCAGCGGGCGTGTTCCACTCACTCCAGGTGACTGCTGCATTGCCCACAGCATGGCTAAGAGTTTTCTTGGCAGCTACTCAGAGTGGACACAGATAATTTACTTTCTTTTCCATACTTTTCTGAGTTGACTTAGCATATTTAAGTGGCTAATAAGAATTTTAGATAATTTCTTATAGTGGGTCACTGTAAAAGTAATGAATAGATGTTTTGAGTCTTAATAGTTTAAGCGGTTTTGATAACAGGTCTTCAAATCTTTTTATTTAAGAGGTTTTTGTTTTTTTTTCATTTTTTTCTTGTGTTAGTTGTGGGGAAGGGTGGCTGACCTAGCAAGGAAGAGAAACAAGAAAACTGGTTCATAAGCAACCTTTTTTCCTCTTAGAATAAGTTGTTTTTTTGTTGCTTTTTTTTTTAAAGATTTTATTTATTTGAGAGAATGAGAGAGAGAGAGAGCACACGAGAGGGGGTAGGGTCAGAGGGAGAAGCAGACTCCCTGCTGAGCAGGGAGCCTGATGCAGGACTCTATCCTGGGACTCCAGGATCATGACCTGAGCCGAAGGCAGTCGCTTAACCAACTGAGCCACCCAGGCGCCCTGTTGCTTTTTTTTTTTTTTAAGATTTTATTTATTTAGGGACACCTGGGTGGCTCAGTCGGTTAAGCAGCCGCCCTCAGCTCAGGTCATGATCCCAGGGTCCTGGGATCCAGTCCCACATCGGGCTCCCTGTTCAGCGGGAAACCTGCTTCTCCCTCTGCCTGCCGCTCCCCCTGCTTGTGCGCGCTCTCTCTCTAAGAAATAAAATCTTAAAAAAAAAAAAGTTTTTAGGGCACCTGGGTGGCTCAGTCGGTTAAGCAACTGCCTTCGGCTCAGGTCATGATCCTGGAGTCCCGGGATTGAGTCCCACATCGGGCTCCCTGCTTGGCAGGGAGTCTGCTTCTCCCTCTGACCCTCTTCCCTCTCGTACTTTCTATCTCTCATTCTCTCTCTCTCAAATAAATAAATAAAATCTTTAAAAAAAAATAAAAAAAAATGGGGCGCCTGGGTGGCTCAGTCAGTTAAGCGTCTGCCTTCGGCTCAGGTCATGAACCCAGGGTCCTGAGATGGAGCTCCACATTGGGCTCCCTGCTCAGCGGGGAGCCTGCTTCTCCCTCTGCCTCTGCCTGCCTGCCTGCCTACTTGTGCTCTCTCTCTCTCTGTCAAATAAATAAATAACATCTTAAAAAAAATAAAAAATAAAAAAAGATTTTATCTATTAGAGAGTGCACACACCAGCGGGGGTGCGGGGTGCGGGGGGAGAGGCAGATGGAGAGGGAGAAGCAGACTTCCCACTGAACAGGGAGCCTGACGTGGGGCTCAATCCCGGGACCCTGAGATCAAGACCTGAACCGAAGGCAGATGCTTAACCCACTGAGCCAGCCAGGCACCCCAGAATAAATTGTCTTAAAATAATTTTACTTACTCTGTTCTCTTACTTACATCAATGTCAGTGATAAAGGGTTTCAGGATTTCTGAAGTGGGAATGAGTTGTGGTTTCATGATGGAAGATCCAGCTCAGCTCCCAGTTGGCGTTTGATGAGGAGCCCTTATAATATGTTTTGACTTTCTGGGTGACAGTCCCTCTCTCACCTGAGCCTTCAGTAGCCCTGCAAATAGGTAAGGTCGGAGGTATTGGTTGGCATTTATGCTGGAATGAGAGCTAAGCTCTTCTGACTTCCACCAGAGTTTCCTCTCCTTTCTCTGGCCATGATGTTTAGAGTTTTTTCAATTAAAAAACAACTAGAATAGAAGTGTGGGCCTGCTAGCCAACAGAACTCCGGGTTTGTGAGTTTCATCACCAGGGTGAGTGTGGGAACAAGGTGGACAGTGCTCTGGCCAGACTGGGGGGATTTGTCTTACTGGTGGCCTGGAAAAACTCACTCTACTAAGGCAAGGGGATCTGTGGATCCCCCAGAAGTTACTATTCCAAATCCTGTGTTAAGTGTGCATTTGTGTTTTTCCCCTCTGGAGGTTAGTTTTCATCAGATCTCAAAGGGGATAGTGCACCCGGAGAGTTAAGAGCCTTGTGAGTAGGCAGTGAAGAATACCAAGGTGTGTGGGACCCTCCAAAGAGCAGTGGACCAGGAGTATAGAGCCCTGAGTTCTAATTTGGGACCTGACAGCGGACTTGTAGGGTGTGCGTGGGTGTGCTTACCAAGTTTCCCACATCGGGGAATGCTGGCCATTGGCAATATGGTCATTGGTAAGATGACCAGCGGTAATGGCTAACGGTTGTATCTGTGATCAACCAGAGACACAGGATTGTGAAGTGTGAGGCAACAGTAAGGCATGTGAGACACCTTAGCATGGAGGCAGCTTCTTTTGTATGGAGCTAGCCTTATTTTTGTCTATTTTTTGAGAACAGGGGAACCCAAAATGGTCACAAATTGTTGCCCTGAAGGTATTTTTCTGCATCTGTCCATAAGGTAAAGGGCTATGCATTTGAGTTTAACTGAACGTGTACCTTTCAGATATTACGTGTGTTCTTTCCATAGGCAGCAGATGCTCGCCATTTGACAGCAGAGGAGAGGAACCAAGTTATCCTTGACCTGAAAGCAGCAGGATGGTCGGAATTACATGAGAGAGACGCCATCTACAAAGAATTTTCCTTCAAAAATTTTAATGAGGTAATTATGACATATTCTTGCTAGTGCCATGGTCTGTCTGTGTCACCTTAAGCTGCAGCTCTTTAATCCTGCTGGTTGTCTGGTCCCATGTGGACCCTTAAGAAGTCAGTGACCGCTGCTCTGTCCTTGTTGACAGGTGCTCCCATCCAGTTGGGTGAGTCTCAGCTGTAGGGGAAGGGAGTGGTTTTTGTCATTTGGAAAATCAGATTCTGAACCCCCTGGTTTGGTGTGCGTTAGGATATTTAGTTTCCTTTCAAATTTTATTTTATTTTTTAATTTTTAATTTTTATTTTATTTTTTTAAGCTTTTATTTATTTGTTTGGCAGAGAGATAGAACACGTAGGCAGAGAGGCAGCCAGAGGGAGAAGGAGAAGCAGGCTCCCCGCCGAGCAGGGAGCCCGACGCGGGGCTCGATCCCAGGACTCTGGGATTATGACCTGAGCCAAAGGCAGCCGCTTAACTGACCAAGCCACCCAGGCGCCCCTCCTTTAAAATTTTAAATAACATTAAAAGGGCGTATGAGTTTTTTATGTGTATCAGAAGAGGGCCTGAGTAAAAGCAGTTGAGAAACATACACCTGCTCAACTGATTTCCCCTACTTTTCTTGAACGCTTGTCAAGTTTTCTTTCTCCCGGTACATGTATTTCAGTCTTTAAATCAAGCCCCAAGCTTCAGCCTCTTCTCTGATTAGCTTGTTTTCCCCCAGCCCAAGAGCCTGCCCTTGTAGCTTTTCTTAAAAGTCCCCGCCCCCCTCCCGCCTTGGAGACTCAGCCTTAACAAGGTAACTGTTCCATTAGGGCCCCGCCCTGTTTAGAGAGTCATCTCCCATGACTTACCCTTCAGCTCTTACCCCACTGCATTTATATAAGGTCGGTGCTTTTGACTATTTCATGTTTGTTCAGTGAGTTTGGTAATCCTCTGGACAGATTTATTGTTTTTATTTATATTAGGTGTCAGCATCTAGAAGGCAGAGACCATGTTTGCTTAAATAACTCTCTATTGTACCTAACACAGTTCTGGGTACAAACAGGCATTTGATAAATGCAGACATTAATTACAGTGTTTGCTAGTTTCTGGAAGGGTGTGTGAGGACCAGATTTCCACCAAACAAACCTTCGACATGTTTTCCTAGTAAATGCCGTTGGCTCCACTGAGCTGCATGCCCTATTCTGCTCTCCATCCATCTGGCTACCAGCCTTCTGCTTTGAGTCTCCAGCTCCTGAGGAGACCTAGACCGAGCCGACTCCCTGTCCCTGCTGCCCCATGTGTTCGACAGCTCTTGTCAGGGGCTTAGCACTCCGTGGCTGGTGGCCCGGAATCCCATTGGTACAGTAAGCTTGTACATAAGCTCTAGGTAGCATTTTCCAGGCTTATTAAAATTCTTACATGTGTACAGCCTGACTTCTTTAAGCCTGGGCTAATTTATTGGGCTTGAACATGTGGCTTAAAGTACTTGAGTAGTGTTGCCTCAGGCTCTGCCCAAGAGTCAGTCATCCAGCCCACGCTAACCCTGTGCTTGGGGCGACTTTCAGAAATGGGAGGGAAGGGAAGCTGTGCAGGGCATCCGTGATTAATTGTAATGTTATTCATTGGGACATTTTATTAATTTGGCTTTTTTTTTTTTCCTTCACTCAGCTTTTAGGAGAAAGAGGCAGATGACAAGAAAATCAGCCAATGTCAGGGAATGTATTCAGAGAAGCAGCCCTGAGATTATATTCAGGGGTCAGTTTTCCAGCTGGGTCTCTTAGGACTTCTACGTGTACAGTGGCCAGTAATTGGATCTGGTGTGACACCTGTCAGTGTCCACCCACCCAACATCACCAGGAACACACCTGGGTTTAGTGGAGCAGGTTGGGGCTGAATCGCTTGTTGCAGCGAGGGAGGCTGCACATCATAGGGAACTGTGGGGCGTCTCAGGGAGAAGGTGTTGGAAAGATGGTTTGGTCTAGATTGGATATTGTCAGAAAACGGGCAGGTCTGTGATTCAGTATTTTCATCAATCTTACCAGTAGGGAGGGTAGACTAAAGTGGGGCCAAAGCTGAAATTGGCAAAGAAGCAACACTCGCTCATTAGCTGGGAGAGGGCATTGTTTGGTACTTTGTGGTGTGGACAGTGTTCATGTTTTGTCTGTGTTCACATAACCTTGCAGCTTGGTCTTGTTTTTGTTTGAATCCATCCTACTCACGGAGTGGACTTGTCTGATGTTGATGTTCGTGTGTAACCCTAGGGCCTCGGTGTGCATGCCAGGCCAGCTCCTGGCTGTCAGGGTTACCTTTCTCTTTTTCACAACCGGTGTTTAGAGTCGTGACCCTCTCGCACTGATAGATCCTCACTAACCTTTTATTTAGGACAGAAGAGATCCTGGTTTTTATTATAAAACACTAACAGGAAATGCTAGAATGGGATGTTGTAAATTAAGAAAAATTCTCATTGCAACTTCTTTCATTGAGCGTTTATTCTTTTCTAGTCTTTCTCCACAGAGTTTATTCATAATGTAGCAGTTGTTCATGCAGTTACACTTTTAAAAATCAGCTTGACTTTTATTGTAAAAGTAGTATTATTTATTTATTTATTTATTTAAAGATTTTATTTATTTATTTGAGAGAGAGAGAATGAGAGCACGAGAGGGAAGAGGGTCCGAGGGAGAAGCAGACTCCCCGCCGAGCAGGGAGCCCGATGCGGGACTCGATCCCGGGACTCCAGGATCATGACCTGAGCCGAAGGCAGTCGCTTAACCGACTGAGCCCCCCAGGCGCCCAAAAGTAGTATTTATTAACTCAACAAGTATTTATTAAGCATCTTCACTGTGCTGGGCACAATTCTAAGCTCAGGTAGCTCCGTTCTAGTGGAGAAGACAGACAAGAAGCAAATGAGTAAATAGTGTAACTTCGGGTAGAGATCAGTGCGACGGAGAAAAGTAGGGTATTGGAATGGAGGCTGTTTAGGGTGGGGTGGTCTCGCAGGCCCTCTCTAGGGAGGGGGCGTCCGAGGCCTGAATCATGTGAAGGAGCTCAGCATGTGAAGACCCAAGGGAAGAGCCTTCCTGAAGGAGAGAAAAGCAGGTACAGAATTCCTGGAGCAGGAATGATCTTGGTATGACTGAGGAGGAGCCAGAAGGCCAGTGTCTGGAGTGAGCAGGAAGGGGAGACTGATAGGAGATGGGGCGGAGGAGAGGGAGAGCCCAGAGCCCTGGAGCCTTGTCCATCTGGTGAGGAGTTTAGATTTTGTTCTGGGTACAGAGCTGTGGGGCTTTCAGGAACAGACGTGCCATGATTTGGTTATGTTCTAGAAAGACTGTCCTGGCTGATGTGCTGTGACTAGACAATAGGAGGGCCAGAGCGGAACCAGGCCCACTAGCTAGGATGTCGTTGTGGCAGGCTAGGTAAGAGGTGCTGGGGGATTATGGAGCTAGCAGTGGAGTGGAGAGAAATGTAGTATTCGTCATACATTTCGAAGGGAGAGCAAACAAGGCTTGCTGTTAGATTGGATATGGGGGAAGCGGAGAGTCAAGGATGATCCCAAGGTTTTGGTTTGAGCTAGAGGGTAAAGGGCGGTACTGTTGGTGTCATTTCCTAAGTTAAGGAAAATGGGGCAGGGTAGGGAGTTGAGAATCCTGTTTCGGACGTGGCAGGTATGAGACACTTAGTCACCCAGGTGGTGTTATCAGGTCAGCACTTGGGTATGTGAGGTTGGAGCTCAGGCTGGAGGTACTGGGTTGAGGATTGTCAGGGGGAGGACTGTGAGAGTACAGGCCTGGTTGGCAAGAGGGCACAGATGGAATGGGCGGGTCGGGGCGCAGGGCACCTGGTGTGCCCACTGTCTGAGGAAAGAAGGCAGAATGTAGAAATGTAGATGAAGGTTGGTTGCTACCGTGCTCTTGGGAAGTACAGGTAATTCTCTTTGATGGTTTCTATTTTTTTAGTGAGGTTATCAATTGAGAATGAGCAGGAGTGGGAGGGAGGAATGTTGGAGATCTGGGAAGATTGGAAAAAGAGTGGAATAGTCCTCTTGGAGGCCAAGACAGTCCACTAATTAGGGGATTGTGGTCAATTTCTGGGCAGTTTTCAGTGTCACTGGGGATTTTTTTTTTTTTTTTTAAGATCTTATTTTTTATTTATTTGACAGAGACACAGCGAGAGAAGGGAACACAAGCAGGGGGAGTGGGAGAGGGAGAAGGATGTGGGGCTCGATCCTAGGACCCTGGGATCATGACCCGAGCCGAAGGCAGACGCTTAACAACGGAGCCACCCAGGTGCCCCTCACGGGAGATTTCTGGTCACACGTCGCAAGTGAAGATTTTGTATGTTTTGTCCAGCCACCTTCAGCTGTTTGGGCACAGGCTTCAAGTAGGTGCGGAGTTGGGCTTAGTAAAGGCTGTACTTTCGCTAAATGTGTCCAGTGGACGAATTGAGGGGCAAGGGAAGTAAGGGCGCGTGCAAGGCAGGAATTAAAACATTGGAGCTTGGAATCTAGCTGGGAAGGAGGGAGGTGCGGCTGTGATGTGCGTGACGGTGAGCGAAGAGGTGGGAGTGTCCATTGAGGGGACAGTTGGGGAGTGTGTATCCGCTTTTAAAATGCACATACCCGGTGGCCTGATCTAGAAATTGACCTTCTAGATACTGTCCTGCGTGTGTGCAGAATGGATATGTGGGGATGTTGGCCTAGAATTTTCTGTCGTGAGGAGGCATTTCCATGTGCCAAGGCACAGCTCCATGAGACGGGGTCTCCCTTGCTGCAGCCCTGCCCTTAGCGAGAGTTCGGGAGGCCCCCTGTGCTCCATGTGCTCCTGGCAGTGGCAGCAGCTCTCCTGGCCTCCGCTCTAGAATCTGGAGGGAGCCGTTGTCTCCCTTAGCAGAGTTCAGCCCACACTGGATGGTAGCATATATTTTAAAAAGTCTCTGCTGAACATAGAGGTAAAAATTATATTCTTTTTTATGCTCTTAATAGGTTATGAACATTTTTCAGTTCTCTACGTAGTCTTTTTACTTAACAATAAATC